GGATAATACTAGTATGTTTTCCATATTGTTAGCTTCATATTCAAAGGGGGGTATTTAAGGGAGAAGCCCACCCAATTTCCCACCCTCCCCAGGTCCCGGATATAGGGCATGCTCTGAGGTTCTTGCTCAAGTGGTCTTGATATTGCCACAGTTATGAATCACTGTCAATCTTGCCACTCCAAGCACTATGAGATCTTTGAAAACTCCACTGATTGACATAGTCCATCATAGCTGAGATGGTTGGTTGACCTGTTCTGTCTTCTCTCTTTTCTTCGTTAGGGTTCTGAGTCCAGCATTTAGATTAGGAAGATCTCCAAAGAAACTTCTTGTATGTGCTAACAAGTACAGGGCCTGGCACCGTCCATCGCTCCAATCAGCTGGTGGTTGCAATTCCTGGGTTGGTTCTGTTTTCACTCCCGACTTCCACTGGAACCAATGGGTGTTGCAGTCCAGCCTGGTTCTGCCCAGCACATACTTGGCCCTCACATAAACCAGCAGGAGCTGTAGCCTAGGTTGGAGCGACCCACAATAACCCCAACCAGGCCCACCCCCTACCCTGGTTTGCCAGTAAGTGTAGCAGTAATCCAGTCTGTCCCACATCCCATTCCACCCCAGCCGCTGTCTTAGTTTTATGTCCTCCCATGGAAGTGGTAACCCAAGAGGGATGAGCCCACTATTTCCCTCCCAGGCCTCTCCCACTCCCAGATTCCAGTTGATGCTGCCCAAACAAACCTCACCCACTTTAATTTTGTTTGCACCAGTAGGAATAATCCGCCCAGCCTGGCCTTTCCCTGATCTAGTCCACATGAGGCGCACAGGTGTGGTAGCTCTGCCTAGTCTGGTCTGCCCCCATCCCAGCCCACGCTCTCCTGTGGAAGTAGCTGTCCAGCAAAGGAACCCTCCCTTATTCCCCTGCCAGCTCTGCCCACTTCCTTTCTTGTTCTCCGGCTGGTTGGGCGCTGCAGTCCCTTCCGGTACAGGCAACCTCACCTCGGCATTCCATAATGTGCACTAGTCTTTGTTGCGACCGAACCTGGGTCGACCCACACTAGTGCCTGGATTTGCCAGTGGATGACGTGGACAGATTCAGCCTGGTCTTGCCCCCACGTCTGCCAATTGTATGCCAGTGGGTAGTTTTCCATGGCTTTTTCTGGGCTGTTTCCTATCATGTTTCTTGCGTTTACCTGCTGGGTCTGTGCCCTGCCAGAGGAGTTGCCCAGGCTCCTCCATCAGAACCTCTCCCAATGCCAGGTTTCACGCTTACCAGTGGGTCCATGAGCCAACCCTACTCAGTCCACCTCCTGTCATAGCAGGAACTGTGGCTTTTCCTGACTGGCCTTCAACCCAATCTGGTTCTTGCTGTTGGATGTTCCAGCCCAGACATGGTTTGCCCATACCCACGTATGGCTCACACATGGCTCAGTAGGGGTTTGAGACCCTGCCTAGTCCATCCCACATCTGCCCTGGTCCTCCAGAACACCAGGGGGAGTCGGGGTCCGGCCCAGTTCGGTGCATTCAATCCCAGTCCACCCTTGTGTCAAGGGAGACTACAACTGTTTCCAGATCAGAACGCAGCCCCCTTCCAGGCCACGCGCCTCTTGGTGGGAACCTCAGCCCAGCTAGGGTTGTCCCCTTTGCTCCCCAACCGGGTCTGTTCCCAGCCATAGATCACATGCCTGCCAATGGATGCTCTGACTCAGCTTGGCACAGCCCCTCCCCTGTCCCGAACTCTGCCTTAGACACTGTGGCTTAGCGTCCCAGGCTCCCACAGACCAGCAGGTACAAGAGCCTAGCTCGGCATGACCTCTGCTCCCTCCTGGTTTCTAGTTTTACTTGTGGGCTAAGGTTTGCTCAGTCGTGCCTAATCTACTCTGTTCCATTACCAGTTGACGCTTTGGCCAGCTGTTGGAGCTACTTTTGCAGGACAAGCCCCAAGCCATAGCTTCTGCATGACTGGTATTTGGTGCTCAGCATTATTAGTGATTACAAGTTTTGCTAAGGAAGAGTTACTGCCTGTTTCAGGTCCAAGAAGAACAATGGGTTCAACCTGGAGCTAATTAAGCAGCAACTCAAAGAACCAAATCCCCAGAGCTCCCGGGCCGGGCGGCCAGCAGGCGGAGCCTGGCACCAATGGCGCACTGGCCGCCCGGAAACGGCTCACCATGTGCCCATGGCGGCCGTCCGGGATCCAGGCATGAGACGCCCCGTCCTGAGACCCACCAGCTGCCAGGAGGCTGCTGGAGGTTTAAATAACCCAGGCCCAAGGTCGCGCCCCTCCCAAATCCCATTCACCGCCCCATGAAGGCGGCGGGTGGGCCCCGGACCTGCCCAGTCCCGGAGGCCTCCCCCCCTCGGTCTACTCACCCCGAAGGAAGCGGCCCCCGAAACCCAGCAGGCCCGGGGAGAACGGCTCACCATGTGCCCATGGCGGCCGTCCGGGATCCAGGCATGAGACGCCCCGTCCTGAGACCCACCTTTTTATGTATTTTTAAGAAGAGAAACGGACATGCAGAGAAGTCCCATTCACTGGCTTGCACTCAAGATACCCACCATTATTAGGACTGGCCAGGCCAAAAGGAACCAGGAACTCAATCCTTCCTCCCGTGTGTGGCAGGGGCCCAACTGCTGGATCCATCACCTGCTGCTTCCCAGGAGTTCTGCAATGGAAAGCCGGGGCCGGGGCCGGGACACGAACCCAGACACTCTGAAATGGACAGCCAAGGCTGGGACAAGAAGCCAGACAAGTTAAAATGGGCTGTGAGCATCTTAAGTAACATTTTTACAACTACTCCAAATCCCTACCTCTATTATACATGTTATATTTCACATGTTATATATAAGTCAGTCCATTAATCCAAGCTCTCATCCCCAGTGAAAGAAGGAATCCAAGCACAAGCTGGAGGTAAACGTCAGCAGGAAGTGAAGGATACTGACAGGTGAGACAGATGTACACATTCAGGAAGGAGCACAGGTGAGACAGAAGTGCCCACAGCATGGCGTTGGTCCATCTGCAGGCATGTGGGGACATGTCTGAGGCAGGGAAGGTTTCAGCAAGGCAGTAACCAGTTTGCTGCTTCAGCTCCAGGCAACAATGGTCCTACAGAACCACCACAAAAATAATCAAAGTGCAAATTGAAGGCACAGAGAAAGTTCTTTCTCTTGTCCAAAACAAGTATAGACTTTTTAAAATATTTTTTATTTTTACTGAAAAAACAGATATACAGAAAGGAGAGACAGAGAAAAGATATTCCATCTACTGGTTCACAACCTCAAGAGGCCACAACGTCCAGAGCTGAGCCTATCCAAAGCAAAAGACCTGGAGCTACTTCCAGGCCTCCCATGTGGATGAAGGATCCAAATGTTTTGGATCATTCTCCACTCATTTCCAAACCACAAGCAGCGAGCTGGATGGGAAGTGCAACAGTCAGGTCACAACCGATACCCATATGGGATCTTGATGCATGCAAGACAAGGATTGAGCTACTAGGTCACCACACTGGGCCTACAAGTAGGGACTTCTGAATGGAATCTTTCTTAGACCAACAACCAATATTGTCCCAGAACCATATTCAGACTGTGCATTCTGAGTACTGCCATTGGGAATGACAACATTATATCAAAAGAGAAAGAAAGCAGAATCCCAAAGTGAATGGGCTGTCAGGGTTGTGCAGGTGTCCTAGGAGAGTGGCCGTATGCTATATTTTCTTCAGGAAAAATAAAAACCAGGATGCTGACCATATGTACACATGCATGTTGCCTGGGAACAAAATATGTCATTTAAAAGGATTACAAAATAGGCAATTGGCAGTCCATTCAAGAGAGCAAAAAGCCTGGACGTTTAGAAAGCATAAGCAAAACAGAATCAGGGAATGTAGAGAGTCCACGGCTGACTTCAATAGAAACAAGCAGACCCCCCTTCCCCAGGCACTGCATAGCTTTTCAGCAAATCACATCCACTCATAAAAACATTCCCAAAGGAGCCAACACTGTCTAATCCACACAGTGTCAGGTTTCAGTCCAGCTGTATCCAAAAGTTACTGGAAGGAGCAGACACAGTTGTGCTCAGAGGAAATAGCCATGGTAAGGAAGATGTAATGAATAGGAGAGAAAGGCAGAATGAAAACAAGGAGGCAGGACTCCTATTGGGAGAAAAACTCCCTGGTCCAATTCAGTAGACTGATGGGTGGTACCTATGGCACACATGCATTTGACACAGCTCAGGACTTTGTTTCTTCCAATAGATCTTTCTTCAGAGAGGGAAGCAACAGACACAAAACTCCAATTCTTCCTCAAGGGACTCCTTCTGTCTCCCTCTTCTCAGTGAGCCACTGGGGCCCACCACACCATTCACCCTGGGATCCAGGATGGATATCCATGCATGCTACTCCAATCAGAAAACCAATCAACCAGGTGCTAACTTAAGCACAGCTAGATGTGGATCAAGAACTACCCATCTGCCTTTTGGGATCTCTGCTTCCATGAAGAAAAAAGAAAAAAGAAAGAAAGGAAGGAAGGAAGGAAGGAAGGAAGGAAGGAAGGAAGGAAGGAAGGAAGGAAGGAAGGACGAAAGAAAGAAAGAAAGAAAGAAAGAAAGAAAGAAAGAAAGAAAGAAAGAAAGAAAGAAAGAAAGAAAGAAAGAAAGAAAGAAAGAAAGAAAGAAAGAAAGAAAGAAAGAAAGAAAGAAAGAAAGAAAAGACAGAGCCATGATCCTAAGGAGGAACCAAGCTGGAGCAAAAACAATCTCCTGTCCTGGACTCTACCACAGCTGCCTGATGAACTGGGAGACAAACGAAAGGCCTGCTGAATCCGGGCTTCAAGAGGAACACCAGACAAGTGTTCCAGAGCCAGGTATGGAAGCCACTGAGAGGCTTGGCTAGTGTGTCAGGGGTCTATCCAGAATGGCATTTCATGAAGTGACAGAGCTGGGGAACCCTGCTAAGATCACTTATCCACAGTGTTTCCATTTTTCCACTTTTTGATATTTCAATGCTACCACGATATTTTCCACTCATTTTGAACTGTAACTCAGGCTGAGGCATCGACCTTAAAGAAGTTTCCTAGAAATCTCATGACAACTCAGGATTACATGCCTACTCCAAAGACAGCAGCACCTGGTTCAGATCCTGGAGATCTGAACTGCACCTCACCTGTGAACATAACTCAGACAACCAAGGCTGCCTTTCTATTCTATCTTCATTTTGGTGTCCCATTCTAGCTAGATTTAACTCTGTGTCAGTTAGAGGGAGTCTTCATGTGAGATGCACTTAGTCTTTTTGAAAATACATCATGTATTCAAGGAATTTCAGTGAGAAGAAGTCATTTCTTAACATTAGTAGGAAAACACTGATAGTTCCCTCACTACACTAAGTCTATCATTTGCAAGCTCTCCTAAGGGAAAGTTTACACATGCAGTACTTCAAATTTACTCATTCTTCTTTGGAATTCATTTAAACATACTTACATACAGGCATACATAACAAAGCACTTCAACAGTGGTGGGCTATGACAGAATGCAGGCTACCCAGAGTAATACAGATACATCAATATTGTGTCTTCTAGGATCTCACCGTAGGAAGCAAACACTCAGCCAGCATCTGAGAAGCCATGGAGCTTCTACACCTGTTCAGAAAGGCAGAAACTCCTCTTGTAATGAGGTGGGGCTGCCTTCCCCTTCCCTGAAAAAGGTTTTTGTACAGTGAGACAACCAAGAGCTGTCACTGTGGTGGACGTTTGGACCGGGGACCAAGCTGGAAATCCAACGTGAGTAAAACCCAAACCAGATTCCCTCTCTAGTTGTCTGTGTCTTGTGATCGCAGGCTCTGTGTGGGGGTCTATAACCTGACTCTTGTGAGGAACCAGGCTCAAGAACCCTCCAGGCAAACATGAGCAAGCACTGTGTCTTTCTGTTGAGACCAAGAATCAGTCCTGGAGGGAGAGTAGTTGGTCAGCTTCAGAAATGTTCTGGGGTACATCGTAACATGTTCTGGGCAGAGCTTACCCAAGCTCAAAAGGGGAAACTCAGTTTTTGTAAAGGAGGGAAGTTAGAAGGTCATACTAGTTATGCTGTTTTCGGGCCCGGGACCCGGCTGGACATCTCACGTAAGTGGCCTTTGAATCCATTCTTCGCTGCCTCTGTCTCTGTGGTTTGCTGTTTTGTTCAATTTTGTGTGTCTTTGTTCGCTGGAGGTCAGGCTTGTCATAAATTATATTCCAGGATTTGGTGCCAGGGAGGGAAATGGTTCCTCAGGAGGCTAGTCTTAGAGATTTCTGAGTCAGACTAACTTCATTGAGGACAGTGGGTCTTGGTTGCCTTTCCCGGGAGGTATTTGTAGATGGGGAACTTAAAGGAATTCACTGTGATTCACATTTGGCCGGGGGGCCAAAATGGAAATCAAATGTAAGTACCTTTTTACTCAATTTTCTGTGAGATTTTAGTATCATTTGTGCAACTTTGTGATGTGTGGTGTAAGTCATCATTCGTGGTGACTCAAAAGTAAGTAGAAGAAAAATGATCAAAAGCTGAGAAAGCAGACTAGTGGAGAGGGTTGTGAGCAGAACAGGAGGAACAAACAGCAGAAGTTTCTCTGCCTCCACCTGTTTGTCATGACCGGCCTCAGAGCAGGTTTTGGTGGAGGGGAGGATGATGGAGTCCTCACTGTGGTATCCTTTTGGTCCCAGCACCAAGCTGGAGCTCAAACGTAAGTGCACTTTTCTAATCCTTTTTCCTTATGGAGCTGTGAAATTTTGTAGTTTTTTGTGTTGGGAATGAGAGTTGAAGTCAGTTCTACAGAAAATAGAATCCTTCAATTAAAAAAAAAAAAAGAATAAAGTAGATGAATAGGGAGCAGAAAATCTGTTCACTGAGGCAAAGAACTTGTCCGTGGCCAGACCTTTTCTATCAGCCGGTCTAGTGAGCTAGGCAGCAGGTGGAGGATTCTGTGGAGGGCAAAGCAGTAAAGCTAATTCTGTGGATCACCTTTGGCCCAGGGACAAAGCTGGAGCTGAACTGTAAGTACCTTCTCTCTTAGTACTGTTTGACGTTTTGCTGTCTTTGCCCAGATAGACTCTTCTAGAGGCAGAAGTAGGAATTTTATCAAAGAGGGTCAATGAGTGTGTTTCAGACGTGGCATCTGGTGTGAAAGCTGGATGGATTCAGAGACCATAGTATGAGATGGCTCTATGCTGGATGACTCAAAGGAGCAGAAATCAATGAAGTTTAAAAAGGGAGCTCTTTGTGCTCTAAAGAACAAAGACATTCATTTTTATTGAGCTTTATCAACAAAGGTGACAGTGCCTGGCTCATTGTGTATGATATAGAAAAGGTGAGAGAAATGTATTTCTTAATCTGCCTTCTCTCTTTGGTCTGAGGAATTAATTGATTTTTCACAGCTATAATGATCACTAACTTGCATTAAAAGAGATCAGTAGGAAGTTAGAAAATAGTACATATTTAGTGTGCTGGAGAACTTGGTAGCAATGTAATGTTACAGCCTAAAATGTGTGATGTGGGTCTGTAGGAATAAGGCTGTTACAGGCTTTGTCTTACTAAAAAAAATCCATTTTCACATGAAACTACAAAATGGCCTCCAGTCACAATGATGCAGGGACAGGTGGCTCAAAAAGATCTGTTTCAAAGAGGTTTGCTTAAATGAAGGAATGGCATTGTGTTGTTTAATGCCCATGGGCTTGAAGGAAAGTATCAAGTATTTTACAGGTTTGGAGAGAACTGTAAGTTGTTTCAATTTTCCTCAGTTACTTATTCCTATTCTTGTAGCACCAGGGGGGCCGTGGCACAGCTAGCATGGTCTGTAGCTCCTGTGGTGGTCGTTTTCCATGACAGGATGGCTTGCTTGGCCATTCCATTACTCTCTGTGGCAGTGTGCCTGGCCACTAAAGGCCACAGCAACCCTGCCAGAGCCGGTTCAACCCTGCCACGGCCAGGTTTTCTGACACACCATAATTCACATAATGGTGCTAACATAAAGAGAATATGGTGGACCCTCAGCTAGCATGGGCAACAGATGTGCAAGAGTGATTTATTGAAAATTTCAGGAACAGAATTTATGCTCAGTATCTTATCCTGTTTCTGATGTTTCCCTGTTGGAGACCATACCTTTATTGAGTGATAAATGAAATTTCCAGTATTATCCAACATTTCGTTCTCACATTTATTTACATGTGAAAGGTCATTTCAAAAGAAAGGAGCATATTTAGAGCTTTATTTTTGCGACAATCCAAACTCTCAAAAAAAAATCAAGTTTAACAGCAACAATTCAGCCACTTGCATTTCAATCAATGCGCAGAGTTTATATTAAATACTAATAAGATGTATGACTAATAAGTGTCAGGCAAATATTGGGCATATTGTTAATTTCAACAATTTAGCTGCCTGGGCAGTGTTCTATTACAGTTGTACAAAATGTCTAATCATTTATGAAAGTGATTAGTATAAAACAATAAAATATATTTTCTCATATATTAAGTCTGTTGTTGAAAAACACAAATCTAGATACTTTAAACTCATAACATCTAAAATGGTTTAATGATTTACTGCTGTTGCTGTTGACCACCCAGCTGATTTCAAACCTGATGCTTAAAATGGATTATTTCAATCTAAACTTTTTAATGAGATCCTGGAGAGCATCAGACCTCAAAGTGATGAGAGCTTTACTACAGCCTCAATAGCACTCTGTCACTGATAAAGACAGATTAGCAGCCACAAGGTGTACACCTGCGAGAGAATACATGCAGGCCTGACCTCACCACTCGTCAAGAGCTTCAGTAGGAGTGCATGTTAGAGCAAGACACTCACCCAGCACCATCAGTGGGTCCTGAGGCCCAGCCTCAATGCTTGCCTGCCCTCAGTGGACCCAGCCCCCATTGCAGTGCAGTCCTTCAGTCCCTCGCCTCCTGTGCCCTCCCCACCCCTTCTTTGGCTTTGATCATGCGAATATTGGTGGGGGAAATAGATAAATAAAGAAAATCTTTGCACCTGTTATTTCTCTCTCCTTCCTCATTTAATGGTTATCCTACATTATGCATCCAATTGCCCTGTTTCTCTTCTAAGAGACTAAATAGGTAGTTGCCCCATCCCGACTGTTGCATCCTCCATCCCACCCAAACCTGCAGTCATCTAGGAGACACAACTCCCTGAGAATCCACAAGCCCCCGTCCTGTCTTCACACCTCCATCCACTGGACCACAAGGCAGAGTTGTGTCTCTCCATTTACTCTCCCCTCATTGAGCCCCACAGTCTCACACAGTTCAATCCAACGCACTCCACAGGTTTACCAAAACACAATCTTTCAACATCAAGCAACTATAAAAGAAAGTCATTTATTACAGCATGGTATAAAACAATGCAAACAACCTAAATGAACATGTAATACCAAACTGTTTAAATCCATCATGGAGTTTGGACTTCACAGAATGTCATACCTTTATTACCATTTTAAACACACATATTCAGGAGTTCCTATATTCCAAGGATTGTCCTGAGCACTTTACACAGCCTAATTTGATTTTTCATTACACTGTGAGGTTAAGAGCATTCTTTAAAATGTTGGGCATGCTCCCTAAAGCTAACAGATGTTCACATTCCATAACCCAGCAATCATTAGATGACTCTGGGACCTTGCCCAACATAAACAGTCTTCCTCTGCTATTTCTCCTTCCTTTTCAGGGTGGAAGTATGTTTGATTTGTGCTCTAGTGATGTGTACTGATGAATCTTTAAGCTGCCTTCCCTATCAGGTTATGTGCACAAATGCCCTTTTCACACTCAGACCTGGACTGGTCTCCTGCAACTTTCCTTGATGGACTGTTGGGCTGGACCTCCTGAGGAAACATTGCCTTCCTGGAACTGCTGAAAATCAAGCATCCAAGTGTAAACTCCCTCAGATTTCCTGTCTGCAGGAATCTCCTGCCTAAATCCACACTCTTGGTTTTCCTTCAACACTGCTTCTAAGGTCTACTTAGTAGGAGACTGTAATTGGGAGCCAAAGTGTGGGTATCTGAACCCAGGCACCTACTTATGGGATGCAGTACCTTACTAGTGGCTGTGTTAAGTGCTACCAACTCATTTCACATGTTATATATAAGTCAATCCACTAATACATTGCTAAGCCCTGATGAGGGCTTTCTAAAACTGACCCCCTCACCAGTACACTGTGGTACCTGTTGGAATTAACAGTCGTTGACATAATGTCATCCATTACCCAGCCTCTGTGCACAATTCCTGGCTAGTGTCTCTACAGTTTGTTGGCTTAAATTAAACTCCAGCTCCAAGGAAACATATGCCTACAATTCACCAAATTCTTTTTTTAATAAAAGCTACCATTATTCAGAAACATAAATAATGCCACAGGGCTAAAATAATCTTGAAGCAAAAATGGAGAAAATGAAAAAGAAAGCTATAGACCAAATTCACTTGCAGATCTCAATACAAAACTCTAACAGCCAATATTGGGAAGTATGTCTGTCTTCATTTAGTCAGTTCAGGTCAGTAGCCATTCAGCTGCCTATGGTTTAAGCCAAAGTAGGGAACCCTAATTAGACAGTGGGGTGAGTTTTTTCTCTGAGGATCAGGAGTCTGGGGTGAGCCATTCAGTGCTAGGATGGTTGCCATGGCCGAGGTTCCTTCTCCCACCTGCTTCTCTGCTGTGCGTGGTTGATTCCAAGCTCTCATCCCCAGTGAAAGAAGGAATCCAAGCACAAGCTGGAGGTAAACGTCAGCAGGAAGTGAAGGATACTGACAGATGA